AATTTGGGGCTATTATTTATAGGAGAGTGCAATACATAGTGAGGAATAAGGAGGACATGGACATTTCTAGTATACATTTTGCTGATCCAGAGAGTCCCTCAGCAGATGGATGGTGTTTACCTGCCTGTCATCCACATGTTCAGACAACTATCCACTGCAGGTCTCTTAAGTCATAGCCACATTTTGCTGATCCGTCTTGTTATTATATTGGCATTTTGTTGCTTCTTCTGTAAAGAAGTTTGGCTTTAGCTTCATTGTGGTGGGACCTTGTCCTTTTGAGGTTTAACTTCTAGAGGTTCTGCACTTTCTGATTTTTGTAATTCAGTTCTTTTACTTATTTCATATTTGAGGCATGATTTTCATGGTCAGTTACATCAAAATCGGATATGTGTTGCTGACTGATACAAAGCCTACAAGGTCAACTTATGGTGTTGGTTTGGTTACCATAACCTATAGGATCATTTCCCTAATTCTGCCAACACATGTAAAATGCATTTTCTTTATAACCTTTACTAGAACAATTTTTGCAACAATATTAATAAACCTTTGAACTCAAATTTATGGCCTAGCTTCTAACGCAGCTAATATCTGCATTTTTACTTTCCATCAAGGAGTTTCTTTTAACGACATGTGGTTGTTGTAGGTAATGCTATGGTTGGATCACGATCATGGATAGGAGCACTCCTGAGTCGCACAGGCAATAGGCGTCATGTAGACAAGATTCCTGACTATACTATGAGCCCTCTTCAGGTAGATTTGAGATCTTAATTCAGGGCCTGTTTGGCAAGTCTTTTTGAGAAGATCTTCTTGTAGCTCTGACAGTCAAAAGACGCATTGAGCTTTTGACATAAGATCTGGGCAGCCCGAAGATTGTTTGGCAGATGCGTGTCTTTCTGTGTGTCGTTTCGGGTCTTTCCGCGCAAGATTAAAACGCAAAAGACACGGGAAGCTTCATTTGGAGCTTCCCGAAATCAGCCTAAAATGGGCTTCGCGCGTCTTTTCGGCGTCCCGTCTTTTGGTGGCTAGATCTTCCGCGAGCCAAACAGAAATAGACCGATTTTCAGTCTTCCCGGCTTGTAAACAGCCGAAAGACCACGTGGAAAGATGCACCAAACGGGCCCTCAATAAGCTTTCTGCTTGCATTCATTGACATATGAAATTCATTGCATCTGCTTACAGTTTGTTGCAATCAAAAGACAGTTATAAATTTGGATTTTTTTTATATAAATTTGAATGTAATCTTTGAAATACATTAATAAAATTTCTTCTAATGATAAAAAAAATCAAAAGACAGTTATGATTATGTGAACATATGAATTGTTTTTTTCCAATAACCCTTATATTACTTCTTTTAGTACATCCTAGCTGGAATTTGTATACATGCACTCTGGAGATTGGTTTCTTGTTTGGAACAATCTGAGGGAGAGCAAAGCTCTAAAATGGGAGCCGATCATAAATGTAAATTGGGTTCACAGATTGGCCAACAGGTTTGTAGATGCAATGGTTAAAAACAAGGAGTAAACAGAGAAAACTTTTTATGCGGTGTCTTGAACACTATTTTATGTAAGAAAAGTACAAAATCTATTAGAAAGGGTAGGGTGGCTGAGCCATGGCCAGAAAGCTGGGATTGCTTGGCACTTGTTAATACATTATTCTTTTACACAATCAATGAAATTCATTGATCTGCAACTAATAAAAAAAGTAAAAAAAGATTGGTTTCTTGTATATCTTGCAACTGTTGTTTTGATTTTGTAGCCATAGATTATTTACCATTTATGTGTCACATAGAAGTTATAGCTGTCTTTTACTGCTTAGCAGGAAGAGAGATTGCAAAGGCTTCAAGAAAGACTGCAAATACCTTTTGACGAGACTCGCCCAGATCATCAAGTATTAACTTCTTCCCCTTGGGCTTGTGAGTGTAAGCTAGAAAAAACTTGTGATAGTTACCTTATCATCTGGTGTGGTTACTTATATTTAATTTGTTTTGTTAGGAAAGACCTACCCTAGCTTTGAGTGGCTGTCCTATTCTTCTGTTCATTACACTGACACGCATTTGTACATGCATATATATCTTCTTGTTTTATCATGACTCCCCATTGGAAGTCATAAAAGAAAACTACTTAGTTTTTTGTGCTCTGGCTTTCTTCTCCTTGTATGAAAAAAAAGAATAATGACTTACAATCTCATTTGAAGGAGCCTAGGAGTAGCTCCAATAGGTGATAAAATGAAGGGAAGTAGACTAAGATGGTTTGGTCATGTGCAGAGAAGACCATCTACAGCACCCTGTAAGAAGAAGCCATCTATTTCAAGTTGAAGAGGCTAGAAGAGCTAGGGGCAGACCAAAAAAGACATGAATTGAGATTGTAAGAAATGACTAAAGGGCTTATCATTTAACAATGGATATGGCACTGAAGAGAACGGAATGGTAAAAAACAGGATTCATGTAGCTGACCCCATATAGTTGGAACAAGGCTTAGATGATGATGAACTGGCAAAACTGTAAACAGATGGGGTATTTGTCAATAAGGTTTTATTAATCATTTTGATGTTTGAGTGACAAAATTTTATCCTTAATGAATACTTGTTCTTGGTGACACATTGTCTCTTTATCATGTTTGTGTGTAAATTGCATATATAATGTTGATCAATTGCATTATGCAAAGATGATATTGCTTTTTATGTTTAAAGAAAATTTAGTAGAACTCTTTTGTAGATTAATTGATGATTAGAGCCTTCAGGTTGAAAATTTCACTTTGTGAAATTCAGATAGGAGTCCAGATTTTGACATTTCTGGTAAACTTGTTGGTGCAAAAAAAAAAAAAAAAAAATTTCAAGTGATTTGTGGTCATGCATCATTGCTAGAATTCACTATTTTTGCATGTACATTGTTTCATAGATTTTCTTTCTTCAGAATGAGATTTCTTCAATGGAACTACATGATTGTAACCAATGTTCTGAAAACTGGAGCAGATGTTGAAAAAGAAAGGCCTTGTTTAACTGTTTCGCTGGTCCGGCTGAGGTTCAAGCAGTTTGACTGCTAACATCATAAATATGTTCATTTAAAACATAAATGCTAAAATGAGAAGATCCTGATTCAATTCTGTTTCAATTTGGGTCCAACCTCAGCTGAACCATGGTTTAATCATGTTTTGACTAGCCAATAGTTTCTTACCATGTTCCAAGCAGTTCACTTTTGGGAATCAGAGGATGGTCTGGTTCCAGTTGAACCAGGTTCAACCAGTTGTCCCACTGTCTGGTTTTCAAGACATTGGTTGTAATTTTCTACATGTTTTCTCCTTCAAGTTCTTATTGTTGGGTTCTACATTAACATCTTTATCTCATTGGCAGGAGGCTCTTAGAGCATTGTGGCATGCTGCTTTTCCAGATGTTTATCTTAAAGGCATGATCTCTGAGCAATGGAAAGATATGGGTTGGCAAGGTACTAATCCATCCACTGATTTCAGGTAAATTTCATAATTTGCAATACTTGTTTGTGTCTAGATTCCTATTATTTGATTTTTGACCTATAACCAGTAACCAGTTTTGCATGTACCAAATGAATGAAATGTCCATGTCAAAAATGCATTGGATTCTAAGAAGCTACTGTAAATGACATATGCCATTCTTTTTGATCATTGTATGCATTTTTTATATGTGATGTTACAAGGATATACTTTTGCACCTTTTCTATATATACAAGATTAAAGGGTAAAAGCAAACAACCTTATATGTATGTATGTGTCCATGCAACACTGCCTATAATTATGACAGACATTAAAACAAAAGTAACCATTGCAACTTTTTAAAATGAGGAGACACAAGGGAGAATGAAAGAAGACAGATTAGGGCTTTGGGTTTTAAAATGAAAAGAAAACATGTGACAGATTAGGGCCGGTCACCGTTTAGGTTTGAAAATATGTGGTTGGAAGATCCTACCTTTGTAGACATGGTTAAACGTTGGTGGCAAGAGGTAGTGAGCAGAGGCTTGAAGAAAGGGGTTAGTTTCTTGAGGAAGTAAGGGTTTAAAAGAGAAATTAAAGGCGTGGAACAAGGATACTTTTGGTAAAGTGGAGGAGATCAAAGAAAATATTATTTCAAGGATTGGGGAGCTAGATAAGAAAGAAGCTCTTAGAACCATAGTTTTCAAGGCGCCAAGGCGAGGCTAGGCGACCACAGGGCGCCCAGGCGTCGCCTAGGCATTGGAATTTTAAAATATTAATTTTCTTGAGTTTTTTACTTTATCAATTTTTTGTAAGCTATTTTATTGGTTTTGTGTGCTAACTAGCAAGCATGTACACTAACTATTAACTCTATAAATCATTCAAATTAGTATAAAACTATAAATTTCATATAACTAGCAAGCATGTACACAGTACACCAACTATACACTAACTAGCAAGCATGTGCACTAACTATTAACTGAAAAAAAAAAAAAAAAGTAAGTGCAGGAACTAGGAAGGGAGGAGAGGAGTATAGGGGCGGAAGAAGAAGAAGTAAAGAGGATTAAGGGCAGGGAGGAGTATAGACCCCTGTTTTTTCAAAAAAAAAAAAGGGACTGAGAGTCTGAAACTATCGACTGAGAACAGTCAGGGGCAGAGAGGAGTATAGGGGCGGAGCCCCTGTTTTTTCAAAAAAAAAAAAAAAGGGACTGAGACTAGGACTAGCGACTGAGAACAATCAGGGGCAGAAGAAGAAGAAGAAGAAGAAGAAGAAGAAGAAGAAGAAGAAGAAGAAGAAGAAGAAGAAGAAGAGAAGAAGAAGAAGAATGACAGAAATTATGTAATAGTGTGGGAGCTTTAATCCCATACACAAAGTTGTAAAACTTTTTTAACTCTAATTTCAAATAAAATTCTCCTTTGCTGATAAAAAAAAATTACACCAAGTCAAAACTTCTTGATCAAATAATGACAGAAATTATTCCAGATTATAAAAAAGTGGTGGGTTTCTGTTGGAAAAGGTCAAAGTGGTTTTTTGAAACACTCATTAGAACACTCATTAGAAATTATTCAGTTTAATCACTATTTTGTTGTCTGTAGTAACCTACTTGCAGCATCTAAACCTATATTTGTTTTTTGTATTTGTATGGAAGAAGAAAAACCTGCAAGAGTATTTTTCTACCTGAATGAGAATCTATCTGGTTTATATAATTTATTTGTTATACATTTATTATGGCTAGAATATCATTCTGTTTAGCAGTGTAATTAGTATTTCATTTAGTATGAGAACTGAAAGGCATGAGTTTTGTCTTATTACATCTATCCTAGTTGTTCTGTAACTGAAGTCTTGACGCCTGACCTGGTTTTAACTTATCCCAACCCCAGATTTGAATTGGAAAAGTTGTCTGAGTTTGGTTCAGAATAATTGTCTCAGTTTTATTCTTGGATTGGGTCAGGTAATGATTTGACTGTTAAGTTCTTCAGGCTGGGCTTGTATTAACCCTATAAGCTGATATCATTGGGTTGAATTGCAGTCCCTAATGATAGGTCATCTAATTATGATATGTAAAAATAGAAGTAAATGAATAATTAATAGAGTTTCTTATCATGTTTGTATGCTTGAACCTGTTGTATTACCTTTAACAGTTCAAAACAAATGTTTTTGTGTGACATTATTTAGTTTTTTTCTTTCTTGTAGGGGTTGTGGATTCATTTCACTTGAGAACTTACTGTTTTTTGCCAGGACATATCCGGTATGCTTTCAGTTTTGTTATTCACTTTCCTAAACTTAACAGCAGTGTAGTCATCAAGGCATTTAGGCAATATGTAGGTGTTTCTGTCTGTGAGGCATTGAGTCAACAAGTTGTCATGGAAGCAACTACACACACAGAGAGACACTTAAATTTAAGTAGTAAGATATTGAGTTGCTGACCATATTGGCCAGAATTGAGATGTATGTGGTGTTTGGAGGCAGTGGTTTGGTGGGGCTGTGGCAAAACTTGTTACTCAGCCAGATGTGGGTCCCGGCATTCTTTTAGCATGCTTTTAAACCATATTTCATGTAATCAAAGTACAATGATAATGAGAAGTGCTTCTATTTCACAATGAATTTAATAACCATCACTATCAGTGGAGATCAACTTTTCATCTAGAGCATCCTCAATAACATTTGTGTTGGTAGGAGGAGGCTGGGGTAGAAGACAAGCCATAATGTGGCCATGATAAGCAGTGAGATCCACCACATTAAAGATGGGATTGATTCCATTGTAAGAAGTTCTTGAACATATACAATACAACTAATATTCATAATGATCTTGTTGCGTACAGTTTCTGGACTTCTTTTGAGGTCCTTCTGTTTTGTTGTGTACAGTTTCTTATTGTACAAAGGACCTTTTCATCAATACATTGATACTTTACCTTTGCTCAAAAAAATAATGATCTTGAAAGGAACCTACACTTATGGAACAGTAGGTGTCCTTAGGAAAACATTCTGGCCTAATTTGCACCATAATGATGTCATCTGAGCAACTAAATGGCAATGTAAATCAGCCTTAGCTTTATAGGTATCATTGCTTAAAGAAATCCTTATATGCTCATTTTCATGTATTTCATGGATATATCAAACAAAAACCCTCTACTTTGATGCTGCTTCATGCATTTGTTATAGAGGTTAATGGGTTTTTCCTGGACTGCAGTCCTGCAACCAACTTGATAGGAATTCTATCTGTAGGTATATTGGCTTAACTATTATTGAAGGGCTTTAGAATTGGGAGTTATGGATTAAAGGTGCTACTTTATGATTTATAGCCTAGGAATTTGGTTAGGGACTGAAAAGTGCTGAAAATTCTATGGTGAAAATTTGCAAGAGGTTAAGAAAATAAAGGGAATATAATCAAATGGAAGAAAAGCAGTTGAGGTTAGGATATGTACTTGGGGGCAGCTAGGGTAGAATGTATTCGGGTTTTGGGGGTTAATTAGAAAGTGTGACTTCTATTTCCCAAGGGCAGGAAAGAAAGTAGGTTTTGGGGAAAACTTGAACAATTACCAAAACATGCTTGTCTGGTGAATATTATAATTCCAAACTGAAAACTTTTTTTATCACTTTTTATGCACCAATTTGGTTCAAATAAAGTAGGAACAAGAAATTGAAGAGAAGGGAGCAGACTCAAAGAAACCCTAAAAGCACTTTAGGAATTCTGGGGATATAACTGTAGCCAAACCGATCAATCTTCATTCATCAGAAATAGGGTATTATTGGAGGACACCCAACCTTAATGAGCAAAATTACAGTGGTGCCCCTGCACATAAAAGTAAAAGAAAATTGTTAACTACTCTAACTGCTAACCCAATCAATAGCTATGAAACTTCAGACAAACTAAATAAAACCCAAATAGTAAATAGCAAATCATAAAACCCAATCAATCCCTAAGGATCCCCATGGAGCATACAACCTTTTCCATTCTAAAATAGTTCTTCAATCATTGCTTTGGATCCCCATCGATGGGTCAATTTTCTAAGCACCTCCTGTAATGCTTTAACTACACTACAAAGCTGGACGTTAATATTTTTTAACCTCTCATTTTCCATTTTTCTTTATTATTTATGTTTATTTGATGTCATAATTTTATACTAATTTTACTCAAAATCAAAATGAAGGCTGCTTTTCATAGGTTATTGTTCAAGCAAGATGGTGAGAGATCCACTTGGGAATATCCATTTGCTGTTGCAGGCATTAATGTGTCATTTATGTTGATTCAAATGTTGGATCTGTATTCAGGTCAGTAAGATAGCAAGTAAAGTCTTTTCGACAATTCTGCATATTTTGTTAATTAGCAATGTGTATTATTATTCTTACTTGTGAATTTAGGTGCCAAAGGGCTTTTCCTTTTTCCTTTTTCTGTTGGCTCTATACATTTTGAGACAAAAGAAAAAAAAAATACATTTAAGACATTTAGTAACCTGTCCATGCATAATTGCATATGCAGTTTTGCCAAAATGCCTAGGTCAAAGGCCTAGCTAGTAAATTGGGCTGCTTAGGAATCTCAGGCTACATTACACTAGGTGATGTTCTGACTGTTGTTAGCTATTAGGAGTATGAAAAAAATATAGTGGAATAAGTTAGCGAATGGTGGTGGTTAATTTTCAAGAGAAGTAACCTTAAGTTCAGTAAAATAAACACAGTGAGATAAGAGATTGGCTGGATGTAAAGTGGCCATAGTTGCTATCAGCATAGGGAATTCCCTGTCCTTACTGGGGGGGGG